TAAACGGACTTATTTTTAAACCTTAAACAAAAACTCAGATCAGGAACTAAACTAAAGTGAAAGCGCAGACAATGTGTTCGTCAAATTCACTACTGATAGGACAAAAGGCAACTCTCTTGAACTAAGAATGAAATTTATCGAGTTATCGACAAAACCATGAATCGAACTTTAAACTAGCCAACTATTAAGACTAAAGCCTCACTCTGAATCGAAGTGAAAAGACTGACAAAGAGTTTGCCAGACCAACGACCAGCCAACAAAGGGTTGAACAGCGAGGGAGGGGGGGGGGGTAGTTGACAATTTCTTCGTTGGCAAGTTGCGACAAACACGCATAAATGACATAGAACACGGAGAAAGGATGTGTGAAACCCCGCATGCACAATTGAAATCTATGTGCGTGGGTGAGTTTCGCTTGCCAATCCCATGCAGCAAAGAGTAGTTCACGTGGGTAAGCTCTTAAAGTTAAAAATTTTGATACATTCGAAAATAAGCCCCTAAACCCCCAACTGCCCACCAAAAGTCACCCCTCTAGTTTAAATTAGAAGAGACCAGTGACTGTTTAAACAAAGCTCAGTTCGTCCAATTCGACCTAGCTCAGTTTTTAAATCGAAAATGAATGAAAGACAAAGCGCGCACATTGTTTTCATGTGTTAGGGCCGGTGACTGTAAAGGGGTGCACCTAAGGGTAGTACGCTAGCACCATTCGCAAGAGCTCCCCCCACCCCCTTGTGCGCTCTCTTATAGCGTGAGAACGCGAATGCGTCACACTATGATTCAGCCAGGTAGCCAATGGTATGATAGGTAACATCTCATTGGCTCGGAGTAAAACGCATCATCAAGGAAGACCTCTTTGTATGTGCAGCACCACTCAATTAAAGGACGCTTTTAAAGGCAAAAACAGAATAATCTGGACAACTGTGATAAAAACCTCAAATAAAAACAGTAGCCCGTGTTAAAAGATTACTTCAAAGAACAATAAACATCTTAGCTACTTATTGCCTAAAAAGAAATCTTAGTCTGCTTTGTTAAATACTTAGATCAAGAAATAATGGCTGAAAAGGATTAGCTTTGGGCTAATCCAATAAAAGAGTAAATAAGCAAGAAGGTATTTACGCACCTTCTGACCTCTTTCTCGACTCGATGGGACGCATCCATTACAAGTGAGTTGAAGATCAACATATGACTGGAAAAAATGGAGAGTTGAACAAAATCTGACTAGTCTAGTTTCCAACATGCCAGGGAGAGTTTTATTCGGTTGCTGGACGACAAAGTACACATAAAGGTGCTTTGAGTCACTGGGGCCATCTTCGAGAGTATATTGGAAGGAGAACTTATATTTGACATCCAATTCCATTTCTCGAAATCGAAGGGAGCTCTTTTCACTGGGTTCTCGACTGGCGTAGTCGAAATCACGCATCCGGAGTGAGATAGGGTCGAGAACCACAAGGGTTGTATCTTGAAATTCATCTTGCTCTAGACCAACAAAAATAAAGCTTGCATCTACAGTGAGAGTGGAAGCAAGAGAAGCATTCCAATTAACAACTGGGATGGGCATATCTGATGAACGCCTTGGATAGAAATCCATGGGGGAAGACTGGCGAGTCCAAGGGATTGAATTCGATATATTTGTGAGCTGGAGACGCTCGCAAAATCCGTGGAAAACATTGTAGCAAACATACAAGGTATCTTCAACTGACAAAAAGTCATTATTGGCGGGTTGGGTGCTGATGCCTTCTTCTGGGGAAACGGGCTCAAAATTAGAGGTTGCCCATGATTTCACAAATGCATTAGTTAAACGGGGGCCCAAGTAATCATGTCTATAGCCCTGAGGTAATGGCCGATTAAGCAATTGATTGATGGGAAAGCAATGGTCACCGGGAAAATAACAAAATATTGAGCAATTTTTGGGACCGATTGTTCTTTGAGTTAAAAGAGAGAAATTATAGGGATTGAGTTGAGTTATTTTGTTCACATGAGCAACAAATAAGTAAGCTTCCCCTGTGAATTTGAATCGACGAAAAAGAACTTTGGGAGATTCAGTTTGATTTTGCAATTGAGAGCGTGGAAGAAACCTATATTCATTTTCCACATAAATATTGGATGTGGAAGAGAACACACTACTTAACAGTATATAAATAAAAGCATAAAGTTTTCCAAGCATCTTGCATTATATGAACTATGAAATTCATTAGCACACTATAGAAATTAAAGATTCGGAAATAAAATCCTCGCAATAGAGGACTTGGGAGACAGCAAACGGACAACACCCAAACCCAAGGCTGCTAAAACGTTCTATGCGGCGCTTCGTATTTGACCTTGGAACTCGCTTCAACAAGTGACATTGTGGCTATTGAAAATGAAATTTAGTGATGTTCATTAACTAATTTCATAATTTTTGTTCAAATACTTTTCATCATGCTAAAGTCGGTTTTTTTAAATGATTTATGTTTATGAATAGCATCGCCAATATTCCCACGTCATATATTTTATTAATTTATTCTTGCATGCATTTTGTAAAATATCTGGTTTGTTTTACCATAAATGCGTCGTTCGTTTCCAAACGGAATTAAAATAAGCGGTTTTTTACTGGTTTTATGTTAAAAATTGAAGACTATTTGTTTATCACATAAACCTTATCTTTTCAAAATCATACTCACTAATTTTACCGCTATCAATCATGTTCATGTCTGGTTACTTATTTTTATTTGACAATCCCATTATTTATAAGTAGAATTGATTATTTCTGGTTTTACGCTGTGAAAGTTTCGATCACTGTTTCTAAAAATTTATACCTGAAAATAGGTACTATCCCTTAATTAAAAAGATATTAGTATTTTTCGACATAGCAAATGAAGTTCCGTTCGAAAAAAGTCAGTTCCATTATCACGAATTAAATTAGGAATAATTAGTTGACATCCCACTAAGTGATTGTTAACATTATTTTGGCCTTCGCTGTCGTAATTGTCACAGTCCACGCTCTGACATATATATATTGTTTCTTTCAATATATATTTGGCTTGTCAAAAATATAAAAGTACTAATAGCTTTCAGTTCTTCAGCAAGTGAAGGCAAGGCCAATTTTTATTATGCCTGATTGAAAAGCTGCTTAAATATGATAAAGTTTTAAATTAAATGCCAAGTACTTTTAGAAGAGGTGAACTGTTAGTCATATCTTCATTTGGTTGTTCACACGTTATTCGTTTAGTCCACAATGCTAATTATTGATAGTACGTGAATGCACTTGCTCTACTTATTCCATTTTATTTTACGATTTATCTGTTATTTCATTGAATATGTCACAAGAATTCACATTTCAAAAATAAAAGATTTCTTTCAATATTTGGTCTCTTATAAGGGAACCGTGAATATAAATCCAAAACATTTTAAAATATGCTAAATGCGTCAATGGATTATATTGTGTAAAAGAAAATGAAGCATGTATCACGTTGATTTTTCGCAATAACCGTTCACGATTTTAGCATTTCCAACAGAAATTTAATTTATTAATTATATAACTTAAAATTCTCTTTCGAGCCTTATAATGCTTCTGCAATGAATATTAAAGAAGCTATCTTCATTCTTAAATTTATTTAAGCTATTTTGGAGACCTTAATAAAAAATGACCACATTTAGGGAGAAAATGTTTTTACGTACTATGAAAGCATGAATTTCTTTAGCTTTTCTTTTGACAATTTACCTTCTAACACATTTTTTAACTGTAAAGCAATACCAATTTTTATAATGCGCAAATGGCAATTTACACAGAAATCTTCATCCTTCACTGCCATTTATTAATATCCATTGCATTCGAAGAAAATATTTCAAGCTGGGTAAATGCGATCAAATGAAGCATTAAAATGATGTCCATACGTGATTAATACCTTTTAACAATTCCTTCAGAAATACTTACCACTTACTTACTTACTTATTTCAATGGAGAACAAGAAAAATAAAAAAATGAAATAAGTGAAATTACGCAAAATTCGTTACACAAGTTAATTAGCGTGCCAAAAATAACAAAGATCGCAAAACATCTCACGTTGTCTATTCATAACATCTCACAATTTAAAAATAGTTCCAAAGTTAGTTTACACAAGCTGCATTTTTATACTTGCATAGCTTTATAATTTTCAACTTGCCATTGGTTCTGGAGAATTGCCAGTTATATTTACGTGCGATCCTTTATCATATTGAATATCAAAAATCCCATATTGCCGATTTATTTTAGCAAATTTTTATTAAAATTTAGATAGTAAAAGATTAATAATTAAGATTAATCATATATATCTTATTATTTCAATTGAACAAATTTTTAGAATCTTTTACACTGTTCATAACCTTTAAAAAGCTGGCGAATTTACAACTACGGTTTAAGTTATTGCGTTTAACATAGATTTGAAAATTTATAGGTAACTTTCCAAATTTTATCTTCTTTATTAAAAATAAGGAGGCATTTTTTGAGCAAAAAGTTCGACGCAGGTTAATTTTAATTACATCTTACTGTAATCATTTTACAGTACTAAAATGAGCATTGATACCTTTAGAAAAACTCGAGTCCAACAGTTGGCAAGTAAGTAACTTAGATTTAATTTTTATTAAGAAGTGTATATGCTATGTTTTTTTGTTTTTTAGAAACCAGAGCTCTTCAGCAAAAGAGAATTTTCACGAACTGGGTCAACGCTCAGCTGGAGTTAGCAGAGCAAGCATCATATGAAGAGCCATTTATTAGTGGCTATTTTAATAATGGATTTAGTGCAGACAGCATTGAATCTAAACTTGCAATTATTTTTAAAGAAGGACAGTCACTTTATCGTGTTAGGGATCTTTACAATGATCTCTCTGATGGACGTGTACTATTGCGATTACTGGAAATTTTCACTGGAAGAAAGGTATGCTGAAATTTTTTTGACTTATATGAGCAAACCCTGAAATTTGGAATACTTAAAATCTTTAGACGTTTAGAGTCAAATATTTCGGTTAGTTTGTCAATGTGAATACCAATGTCTATTAATGCTTGCTCTTAACAGCATTTCGTATACAAAACTTTCCGTGTCATGCATTTTAGAATAAAGGTTTGAAAATAACTTTACCATTGACTTACCCGTTTACTAATCTACTCAGCTAGGATTCTAAGTTCTTGAGGTATTTTAAAGATACTTTTAGGAGTCAATATCTATTTTTCAAGTACACAAGGATCTCTCGTCTTAAATTGAGAATAAGATTACCATTATTTTCTCAAATAAGCAAAACTGTCATTAAATTGCTATCACTATAATCTTTGAATGTTAACGTTGAATAATTTTCTCTTCTATTAATTGATGATATACTAGACTATTTATTTCTGATCGAATTGAAAACGATATTAATAAATATTCTCCATGTTGAATTGAAAGTTCAAAAATAGCAATATCCTATTCACCGACACTAAAGTTGTTTTCTCTCTTCGATAGCAATTTGAGAAAACTCAAGATTTTCACCATGCGTTAAGCTATAATACATTAAAACAATAATGAAATTAGCAGACGGAAATTCATCTATTCGGTCAGTTTTATTATCTTATACATTTCGGCACGATTCAAGGAAAAAATTACGAAATCATCGATCAGTAAATACACAAGTTTCATTTAATCAAATTTTAAATCAATAAGTTAAGTTGACTATCAATCACTATTGAATTTTTTGTTAGCAAAGTTAGTGACTTTCAATCACTACTACTTTGTGGAAGTAAGGTGCACTACCAGGTACTATAACTAATAAATTTTTCGCAAACCTTCAATCGTTTATTTGCTTAAGGCTTATTACAAAGTGCATTTCAATCCTAGACATAACTGATAGCTCCTATTACATTTATGGGAAGAAATAAAGGAGAATAAGTATCAAGGTTAGGTTATAAAAGCTTTAGCATTACTTATTTTGACTGGAGAGGTAGAATCTTAAAGTGCCTTTAGCAAGAAACAAAATAGCTTTCACCCCGACAGTTCAACACAGATAGGCTTTGAAATCCTCTTATACAGCAAATGATTTTCCATAAAGCAAAAGGTACATAAGCTCCTTCCCATAGAATTATCGGGCAACTGGAAACTAAAGTGAGTGTAAATGGGGAAATTGGAATAGAATTGATGAGGAGTAAGCACTGAACACGACAATCGTACTTTGTGGTCAGGAAGGCTTATTGTGATGTATGCTGACATACATTTTTTTCGTCTTCTATTCTTTGATGAGTGAAAAATAAAATGATCACCAAGTGGTGCACTGAGGTATGAGTTAGTAAGGAAACACTTTAGAACTCGAATTCTTCCGCCTCCCCTTAATTGCCAGACTTAATAGTTGTACCCCTGATTCTTGTGGTCTGAACAACCAAAAATGTGATAGATAATCGAAATCCAAGTTCGATTGACACAAATTTTCCTGGTTGTTCTGATTTTTGCACATATTTACCTTTCTTCCTATATTGAGCTCATCCATGATTAACAGTGTTTCAATACATTCAAATTTAAAAATATTAATAGAGAACTCAGTCTTTCCGATGATAAAATCGATTTTTAGCCAACCCCCCCCCCTTTATTAACAAAAATTACGCCGTGCGAATAGCCATTCGCCTTACTGTTTGCTCAAGTGATGAAAATCGAATTCTTGACCTCAAACTTGAAAGACTAACACCCCCCCCCCCACACCACCGATTACCAGTGTAAAACGTGATCATGATGGATCGCATTTCTTCTTAGATAAGCAAATCTCGAGGAACAATGAGAGTTCATTGGCTTGAAAATGTTGGAAAGGCTCTTGATCAAATGAAGCAGATGAACATACCCCACGAAAACATCGGCCCGAACGATATTGTCGATGGAAATTCTCATCTCATCCTCGGTCTCATATGGATATTCATATTAAATTTTCAGGTAAGTTTAAAACGATTTTTGAATAATTTTGAACGAGAAATGAGAATTTAATATGCAAAGCAGGAATATTGCAATGAAAACTGACAATTATACCCCTTTTTTACAAGTTACAATATGTATAAAGTTCATGTAAAATACATATAAATTTCATGATTATTTTTTACTAAGGTCGTTAACTTCATTATGCAAGCTTAAAGTAAACTTGTCAGTTAACAATAACTGGGTTTTAATTATTTTTAAATAAATAAATATTTAAAAATAAAGCAGTAAGCGATATCCCGTATTTGCCTTATTATTTCTATTAATTAATAAAATTTAGTGTTGCATTTATTGAATTTTTAGAAAATTAAAATTTATATGTCCAATGGTCATACAATGGCAAATTGGAGCTGTGGTAGACACGCAAAGTGAATAATTAATTATTCTCGCATTTCTATTAAAACGGTTTTTGAGGTACGCTTCCATAAGGCAAAATTTATGAAATGAGGAGAAATTTCTTCAGCCTCAGTTGTCTCAAGCGCGCTGATAAGTTGCCTTGAAATTTTTATTTAAAATGGGCTCATTCCAGCTGAATGCATCTGAAAGTACATCAATACACTATAAAAGTGCACGATTTGAATGATTCTTTTTTGATTGGCACTTTGTGAGATCTCGTGAATTTATCGAAGATGGGACAAATTCAGACCCAATGCTCAATCGAATTTCACATCTATTGACGTGTATTTGAAATTGAATCGCAGCTTTTGACTTACCAAACTGCGAATTCGGAAATCATTGGCTCGGTATCCATCAGTGAATACATAGGAGATAAAATGGCCATCTACTACAATGACTAACGAAGAGGTCGATGACAGAATTTATAGTAGATTGTCGCCTTTATGCTACTCTCTTCTTCAAGATTAGCACTGGGGAACATTTCTCGCCAATGGGTTTTGTAATAAAAGGTACATTCAAGGTTCATTTCTGGTCAAAAAGAGAGTTTACAGAATAGGAACTTCTCAGAAGAATTGTTCAGATTACCTACCTTTCACCCGGCTTCAATGATCAAAATTTCCTTTAAGGGGCATATTTAAAATACAATGGGCTTGGTTATTGTTAAAAGTGTTATGACTTCTTTATAATGGAACTGCTAACGAATTAAGATAATTTATTTCGGAACGCTAATAAATTTTATTCTTAATATTGGAAATCGAATTTCACAAAGCTGAAAATAAGTTTTAGTGTGATCCTACTGGGAGGAAAAGATAACGAGAAATTCGAGATGATTAAAAACACAACATTTTAGACGGATCTAAATTAAATAAATTTTAGTGCATATTTGGTAAAATTTACTCTCACATTGCATTTCTGTTAAGTAGCATTTGGAGGAATAAAACATCTTTAAAATATTTCTAAAAAGGAATTGTCCTTTTTCGGGCACTCAATAAGAGTGAACCCTGTCATGTCAAGGTTAATACAATTTGCTTAGGATTTAGGATGCTCCTATTTTGACCCCTCAGGAAGAGGAAATTATTCGAATTATCAATACTGACGATTTAATCATAATGTCGATCAATAAAAATGGGAGATGGTGAATAAAATTGCGATCGGTAATAAGGGAAGATGAAGTATGAAATCTGAATGTAAGAACTGGGCATTTAATGAGTATTCGGCTAAATCGGAAAATCTCTTATTATCTACTTAAATTCAGCTGAACCGTTTCTTTTTTTCTATCATTTTATGATATGAACGTCTTGCTGTAAATATATGCTTAATTAAACTCGCAATTATGAATTGTCCACTTTTAAAAGTTTCCTTTTTTGACGCACACCAAAAAAAAACAAAGTGCCAAAAAATTGGCGTTGATTGAAGTGAGAAAGATTCCTTGAGTAGTGTAGATCAACACCAATCAGTAAATTATACAACGTTTATATTTCACATCAGCAATAGACCCAAAGACTTTGAAAGTGAAGCACCTTAAACGATCCAGTTTGTTTGAAAAACTCAACTAATCAATAAGTTCGTTCACTCATTCTACACGTTGGATGTTCTTTGAGGCAGGCCCGATTCAACATCACCGAATCGATCGTCATAGTAGGTGTTCCCCACTATTCCGAACCAGTAAAATACCAATGATTAGGTAGTAACACTATGTTTTCAGATCTTCATTCAGGAAAAATTAAGCTTGCAATTGTTAGTCTATTATTTTTAAAATTTGCACATGACCACGTGACATGTTATAGTTTGAGAAAATAATATCGAAAATGCATTGGCTAGAATAGCCAATTTCTTCCCATATCATAAGTTATACATTTCTTTTCCTTCATACTTAAGCATTTGCTCGTTTTCTTTTAACACATTAATTATTACAATGGTCGTTTTACTGGGTAATCATATCAGTTAGAGAGACACTTGAAGGAAACATTTTATTTGTCAACTTGTCTGCTTGTGGGAACATTTCCAGCAAGTTGATGTTTTGAGGGTGTTATAGGCATTGTGAATTAAATTGTAATTGCACGGGTCATTCACTATCTTAGATTAGAGGATATGTGATCATAAATTTTGAAACAAAACTCCGGACAGTCTTTGCCTCTACCTCGACTTATACTCCGTCTGCGATTAACCGCCACCTTTGTAAGCGCATAATCAATTTCTGAACTTCTTGGTGCACCGAGAACTTGACATGTCTGAAACACATAAGTGGGGTTAGTTACCTATTCTCAATGTATCTCATAGCATAACTGTTCATGGGAATTAAATGGTACGAAAGCTTTAATCATGGTGCAGGATTCAAGAAAGGAAATCATTGAATCGTAAATTAATGAAATAGCTTGAAAATCAATAGAATCAAATAATGTCATTTAAAATTTTAATTCGGTTAGAAATTAGTAGTCTGAATTCTTGAGGGATTTAAAGTCCAAATGTTCATAAACTGATGTTATTATTTCAAATGGCTGGCTTTATGATATTTATCATTAGCCCTTAAACTTTGACTTCAGCTTCCCCCAAGTGTGGGGGGTACATATATAGCAGTTAACTAATAGCAGTTCATTACACCCAGGGGTGGGGGGTGCATATATAGCAGTTAATTAATAGCAGTTCATTCTATCATTAGCCCTTAAACTTTGACTTCAGCTTCCCCCAAGTGTGGGGGGGGGGTTACATTTATAGCAGTTAATTAATAACTGTTCATTAGCCGTCTTCTTGCTTCCCAGTACCTCTGGCTTTTCGTCCTTGTCTTTAGGGCTGGACACCGAATCAGGTGGGTCTTCTCCATTTCCTCCTGTAGGTTACATAGAAGGCATGTGGGTTGAGTGTATACTCCTAATCTGTGAAGGTGTTTTGCCAAGCAATCGTGTCCGGTACGTAGTCTAAACACAGCAACGACTTCGATTCTTGGCCAGTCGGGTATGTCGGAGAGTGCCACTGTCCACTGTTTCTCCTTTGTTCGAGCTTTAAGTTCGATGCACCTTAAGGTCTTGAATTCTCTTCTGATTAAGGCCTTCATTGTGTGGAAAGACATCAGTCGGTCCATGCATTGCAAAATCGTTGTCCCCTTCTTAGCAAGTGTGTCAGTAAGCTCATTGCCTTTAATGCCACAGTGACCAGGAATCCATTGTAGGACCACTGTTTTGTTTTTCTCTCTCACCAGCTGATAGAGTTTTCTACATTCCTTTATCTCGGCTGTTTTGGGTGTCTCTCTGTTTCCAATTGAGTCTATTGCTGACTGTGAGTCCGAAAGTATCACCGCTTTGGTAAATTTCGTATCCAGGCAACATAATTGGCATAGTGCTATCCTAATGGCCTCCATTCCTCCTTCAAACGCGGATCTATTATGTCCCGCTGCTGCGTAGAAAGAGAAGCGTTCAGAAAAGACACCTGCAATTCGGTTAGAAGTTAGTAGTCTGAATTCTTGATGGATTTAAAGTCCAAATGTTCATAAACTGATGTTACTCTACTTGATTCCCGCTTTCCAAGAATGAGTTCTAATCCCTTGTTTGTCAGAGTCTCACTGACTGAGTTTTATCTTCATTAAGCCATGGTGACAGAGATGAGTAGAAGATAGCTTAAACTACTTTAAATCGGTTCAACGGTATTTAATAATGAAAATAATTAAGAGTTTACTCGGTTTAATTTTCGAATAATAAAATTTCCCCCATTTAGAATTTTACGAATATGCAAGACCGCATTTTGTTGAAGTCTTGCACGAAAAATGCGCTTTTTTATTACTTTTACAGTTGGCACGACTGCCTTTCATTCGTCAACTCGACTCAGAGTCGCCTTTGGAGATGAAAAACGCACTTCTTCGTTGGTGTCAACTGAAGACTGCCGTCTATCCACAGGTTTGTCCTTGGGAAGCGAAAATACTTTCCACTATGTTTCTTTTTTTTGTTGAAGACACAAAAAATTCCTCTCCAATTCCCCCCGAAATGCAACTGCCATTGTTGTCCCAAGATTCTGGCAAAATTTTGCCATTGTGGTACAGTAGTGTAATAAACGGCGGGTGGTTTAATAATTCAGCTGATTGCACAGGCTTCCAGCAAATAGAATTTTCCACATTTACGTTTTAGTCAATTAAAAAGACAAAACAAGATTCAATGGCTTGTGAGTATTCTGTTACTCTGGCTAGATTCAATATTGCTCTTAATATGATTTGGTCACAGGTAAGAGCGGTTATATAAAGATGGATTTAAAATTTGGTAAACTTTCGACACTTCCTTAAGATGGGGGTGGTGGTGGGGTGTGTGTATGGAAGAAGGGGTTGGGGGGGGGGGGGGTGACTGACGGTTTTATTGTCTGCCAGTCGAGCGTGGAGCACAAAGTTAATAAGTGGCCTCACGTAAGTTTAGCAGGCTGATCCAAAATCTTAAGTCACTTTGCTAAGCCCATTAAATGTCTCCCATTTCTTCCAGAGACTGACTTTAAGAGGTAGGTACTTAAATAGAGGGGTTGGGGGTGAGATTTTGAATCAGTAAGGTATTAAGTTTGCTTGGAGAACCAATAAGTGCAGATATAAATGCGAGACTAAATTGGCTTTAGAGCTTATTCGTTTTATTAAGCATTCATTTCATCAAATAAAACACCTCAATTACCCTCCTCTTCGGCACAATTGTACGAAGGGAAAAACATTCAGTTCTAACATAAATGGCTCCAAGTTCTTTCACTGCATTTTTCCTATACAGTCAGTCTGAAATACTTTACTTAGTGAAAGTAAGAGCAAAGTTGGGTGGAGAGCGGGGGGAGGGGAAGGGGGAGGGGAATTTCAATCACGGAACTGAGAATTTTCATCGAACTCGATCCTAGGGCAGGAAGTAAGAAGCTAATACTCTAGGTAGAAGGCCGCAACGCAAACAAATATTCCACACACACACACACACACACACGCAAAGAATAGAACACAAAAACGTTCTGACGGACACAATGTGCTAATTAAACCTGCGAGGAGGATAGTGAGGATAAGATAGTCAGATGAGGAGAGCAAATAAATGACAAGAGAGTAGCCATATGGACATGATAGCAATGGATCACATAGGCAAGTCGAGCATGCGCGAAGCTATTCATTTGGGTGAGAAGGAAAAGGAGAATCGATGAAGTCATTTGAACAAGTCAGAGAGAAAGGGGATTGAGTCATAGAGTCATATAGGTCGATAAGAAATGTATTGCTATGGAGAATATGGTCGAAGAAAGGCATATTTCTTTGTTCTAATTTATCTCCATGCCTCACCACATTCGAGAGTGTTCATTTAATTTGAAAATTGTTTTGCCTTTCTAACAAGACAATTCCTCAATCTAAATTTTGTCTCCCTTTTCTTCTCTTCTCTTTCTTTCCTTCATCGATATCCACTTTGAGAGCATTTTCATTACTGTGGTAGAAAAGGCGAGAGTCAGTCAATTCAAATTTGCAGTATGGAATACATCTCGCTCTCCAAAAGGCGGCGCGATCTCGCGAAATAATTGTCTATCATACGCCCTGATGTAGGCGAAACGTTAATTGCTATTGTTGGTAATACCGCCAAGTAAGAAAAGAAGTCGTTTGAACAAACAGGAAATTTAAACAAACCGAGGCCAAGGGTGTTTGCTGAGTTTCACTCCTAATTATAAATGTACTTTTGGGTATTTGCTTTCATTTCTGCTAAAGCAATTGGAAAAGTGTTTAGAGAAATGCTGTAAAGTTAGTACGTTAATAAAGGAACATATTATACTTGGCTTATTTAGGAACACTAATCAAGCCTAAATTCTAAGTCTAAATAGAAATGCATTTCTCGACGCTTTTCTGGAGCAGAGGGCAGCTTTGTTGAGTCCTCTGAGAGTGACTAACCATTGTCCAGGCTTAATTAGTTTAGTTGTTTACTCCTTTCATGGAGTATGGTATAAATTCCCGCCAATAACACTATCTCTGACTCCATACTCGGGCATATTATCAACAGCGTACTCCAAATGTTGATTAATCCAAAGTTTGACTGAATCGTGGAACTTTTTTAACTAACCTTAACATGACAATTTTGGACAATTTTGCTTCCATCTCGATCAAAGCTGACACTTCTGTGATTATCGATTTTTTGCGCTAATTGACCTCGAATGACTAAAATGAATGCGTATTTGCACAGTCGCATTGCTATTTGTAGCATAGTGTTTTTGTTGGCTTCTTATCACTTTATGATCTGAACACACACAAAAAATTTGACAATATTTCGAATGCAGCTCCCTACCAGAAGCTATGACCTCATAAACACGTGGCGGAACAGATTGCAGACAAAATTAGAGCAGGGTAATAAAATAACAAAAAAAGACAGAATCATATGATAAATAGAGTGAGTTGAGAAAAATAAGATAGAACAATTCGATTCGAATTTCCCCTTGCTGCCGATCGCTTTCATACTGCATTCTCAACTTAAAGTAAAAGGATGTTAAAATTCCCTGAAATTGCAATTTTGTGCCAATTTCTTTTTTTGCAACAACGAAGACATGTATTAAGTCACATAAAACACACCACGAGCTAATCTCTCTTAATGAGGCAAATTGCATTCACTTCTTTCTCAACGCGGAAACGCTTTCCTCATTCTCAAATCCCCAACCCACCTCCCCCCACAACCCCCGAATGCAGATAGGGTTAATTAGCAATCGAGACCACCTATTTTTTTCCTCGATGTTAAAATACCCCGGGTATGTGAAACTCGAGGGAGATTTCTTCCTTATCTTATTTTTTTTCACTCCTGTTTCCGAAAGTAGTTCCATTATCTCAGCTAAAATCAGCAAAACACATCTGGGGAAAGTCGACCTTCTAATGAAACTCTGGCTCCCTCTCTCCCTCGTCCCCTCGCCCCCCCCTCTTTCCACGCTTATTTCTCTCCTTTCGAATTTGAGGCGAAAGCAAACAATGCCTCGTGGAACTTAGCGGGGAACGTCAATCAATGCCAAATGTAGGAGGAGGAGGAGGTGGGGGGGGGGGGGGAATGAGGTGGTGAATTAGATATCACTTTAATATGAGAAGATAGCATCTTGTTAGGGAAGAGAAGGCTCATCACCTTCTTCTTGTGCTAATTAATGCTTGTGTGGGTTTTCATCATCAGAGTCAACATATATGAGCTTGAAAGCAGACAATGTAATTTTTCGGTATTTTGCGAAAAAAACCGGCAAGACGCCTTAAAGTTTGCAAATGAGGTAAGTGGATCTATTGCCTGAATTCGAAACAGCTCAATAAATAAGGGCTAGAGCATTTGCCCCATTGACCTTTCTATATCTCCAAATACTATAAATTTATATCATCTCAAATGTCCTCTCAAAAAAATACATTATTCTTTCAGACAATGATTCTGCTAGTCATGATTTAGTTAGTCTACAAGTATGCGGAAATTGACGCAGTAAGCTTTGTCATCATAGCATGCTTATTCAGGAAATCTCCCTAAATGACTCCAAAACGAGACCAACTATTGATTTTTCTTAAACCATAATTTACACCCTTTGTCCTTGCACTTATATTTACCGTTTTAAGAGGAGACAATTAACTGTCAGGTATGCTCCGGACTCACAGTTCAATGCTTGTGGAAATAATTATTATGTAATTCAGTGTTAAAAATTACAACCATATCTGAATCGATTTGAGCGCATATATACATGGCGTCTCAAGCTAATATATGCACACCTAACATAATTGTAAATATAGCGTTTATTATTAATATTATTTCATTATTCTGCAGCAGTCTATCGTGTCAAGCATTAGGAAAGAATTTGAAGATATAGAGTTGTATTTTCAGCAAGATGGGGAACCCCCAAATTACCATCACGGTGTTAGGTCTTTCCTTGATGAGGTATTGACAAATAGGTGGATTGGACAAAGAGGTTTTGTTTAATATCCCTCCCCGTTCACCAGACCTCACACCACTCAATTTTTTCTCATGTGGATGTTTATTTATTTATATCAGATGGCAGGCGTTTTAATGGTTATCATTAGCCCTTTAGTTGACTTCAGGCTTCACAGAGGGGAGGAGGAACATCAAAGTGAAAAAAGTCGAGGGGGGGGGGAACAGAATAGTGTTTCA